CCTCTGGGATTGTGAAACCTGGACTGCAATTATTGGTAAAAAGAAATTTTGCATTCAAAAAATGTAGTTACTTATACATATTATATATATATATATATATATATATATAAAATGAGAAAAAACCGAATGTTAGTGGAGTAAATGTAAATTATACAAAAAAAATTCATGTTAAAGAAATTTAAAGTTACACAATTACTTAAAAGTTGTGTGACTTTTTATTATTTTTTTTAATCTTGATAATTCATTTCAAGATTTAATGATTAATGTATATTCTTATTTTTTACATAAAAATAATTTTCTCGCACACACAAAAGAAAAATATGAGATAAATTAATTTTGATTACATAATTGAAATAAATGATCAAAATTATATTTAAATAAAAGAACTTTAATTTAATTTCTTCTACCTTTCATAGTCATTAAATAATAAATATGCTTTTTATTTATTTAACTTATAACCCCGATTGCAAATGAAGCTCAAAACTCTCTATCACCCTTTCACGTGTTGGTGTCTCTTGTTCTTGTGTGTGTCACGGACTATGGGAGGGGAATAATTAAAAAATGTTAATTGGGTTTTGAATATAATTGTTTTGGGATTCTTTTCCATTGGTAGTTCGTTTTTGATGAGGACAGCGTATGTGTGAATTGAATTGTGAGGAATAAAACAGATGTCTGGTTCCGTGACCTTGTTCATATTTCATAACCCATTATTTTATGTTCATTTAATAATTGATGCATTTGTCTTTATCACACTTTCAATCAAACATAGGCATAGAGCCGGAATTGCCTCGGACCAGTTTAAGGAAGGACAACACCTATTTGCTGTTGTTCCGGTTATAGAGAATACAAAATTTTGAGAGTTTTTCAAATTCACAATATTCAATGAGTAATTTACATGTCCTAATTCTCAAAATTTCTTTATATACTTGTGTTTAATCGCATGATCCCACACCTTGACACACAACACCTACGAAAATGAAACTATATACAAGCTTTGTCCTTTATGGAAACTGCTGGGTGTTCCAGCTTCGCAGGCACCTATTCCAATTCAAGCACATGGAGGTTATTCACAAACTAAATCTAACACTTTTTGAATTTTATTACTTTTAATTCTTTTTCAAATTTGACCACCCCTTTACTTTTACCTACTTACTCGACCTATGGTACTTGATTTCATCTACCTTCTGAGTTAAATAGGTATGTCTTTGGATTATTGAAGGCCTCTGTTCACAATGAAAATATAACATCAATAATTACCATTTTATGATACAAATCCACTATTGCGTTTTGCCTTTCTTATAACACTTATTCCTTTACTCGAGTCGAAGTATAGTTAAATAATCGGCTTAGTGATATCGACTTTATTCCTCATATGAATCTAGATTAAAGATTCAAAAGAAAAATTGTATAGCTTCCTACTTGTATTTATTTTGACAAAAAAATACCCATGCTGATATTTTTTTTTCACATATCTTTGAGATTGTAAAGAAAAAAAACGTACAATTTCTAAAAAATATGATATAATAAAATGAGAAGGTCGGTCGAGAAGCAAATCTAGTCTAAGGTTATGGAAGCACCGACTGCACCCAATTGGGCAAGGATAGCATAAAATAATCCAAGCCTTTCTGGTGCAAAGCAAATAAAAGTTTTGTTACACTACAATTTCATTCAAATCTAGAGTACTAACGTGAAAGATCACATGAACTACAGTATTGCATCAATATTATTACAAAAATATCATTACATCAACATTCAAGCCTATATAGTCATTCTTGTATAACTTTAATATTTGTTGTTCCATCATTTTCTCTTGTACAGCTTTATTCAATTATGCTAAGAATTTTGATTAGTACCAACAATCTATGACTTCTCCTTGATCAGGCAAATCCCACTTCTTTGGGGGCCCTGAGGCCCTTGGGGATGCACCAAAATCATCCCAACCCAATCTTGCAATTTCCACATGGATTGTTCGACCATAAAAATTCTGTAGACAATGGACAAGAAACAAATGAAAAGGGAACATTCAATTGTCAACCAGCCCGTTTGAATACAAACTTAGAAAAATTTCAGAGAGTTTTGGTTAAACTCTCAAAAGTTCTTCCAAATTTGTATTTAAACAAGCTCAATGTCATGGTTGATAGTAGAAAGATGAGGCATATCATGAAAATTTGAACCTTCTGATCCATGGTTTCTAGTGCAAGCATGGCAGCATCTTGACATGTATATTGAATAAAAGCAATACCCTTGGATTTTTTCGTGTTCACGTCTTTTAGCATTTTAACTGCATCACACATAAAATACATAGCCCAAGAAGGGTGAGTTAAGGTACTAAAAACCATCGCGTGAACCACCGAAGTCCCATACTATTATGAATAATGACAAAAATCATGTATTAACCTTCAGCTATCTCGCCAAAATTTGAAAAATCCTTCTGCAAAGTAGTCTCACCCGTAGAATATGGTAAATCTGCTTCCAAATAAGAACAAGATATAAACAAAGTAAATAAAAGGCAGGAATAGCTGGTACTAATATAAATCTGCCTCCACAACATGAAGACATCATAAGAAAAAAAATGATAAAAGGGCACATAGGCGTGCAGACTTATCACTAATGAAATTGAAGTAATAGATAAAGTCAAGAAAATTCTCCACCCAACAATACATCAGATTTATGCAGATTGAAACTAAAGTCACAATCTGAATTTGATCAATTCTATCAGTAAATGATACTGGAGATACAAATTGTTGGAATGTAACAGAAGAATGGGAAGATGTTATAGATAGGAAAAAAGTTATTGCATTAAGATGATTCTGTCAAAATTTTCTCAATTTCTCATGAATTCAAACACTGTAAAATGGTGCTCGAAGAAATCTCCATTACAACATAAGAGGAAGATTAAAATGTAAACAGAGCTGAAAATTCTCTGCCACAATGGCCTAGGACCCTGAAATGATCCCTAAAGTTTTGTTATCCACCCTCCCCCAAAATTCTTTTCGTCCTCTTCATGTTTTTCTTACTCATTCCCATCATTGCTTAATTTCCCTCTCTAATACCATTCTGCAACCTGTACATTCTGTATTTCTGTTACACTTCACTATTTCTTTCTTTAGTCATAACAGCACCCCTCCCTCTACCCTAATACGTAGATATGAACTCCCTAGACAAAACCCTCTCCAGTCCACTTTCCTTTTTCTTTTTTCTTCTCTTATATAATGTGTCAAATGCCCCTCAGCATTTCATGAATGATTGTTCTATGCTGCAGAATATAGTTTGTTTTTTATATATGTAAATGAAGACCCAATTCAAGTCATGTTCATAGACACCGAAAAATGAACATAGTGAAGCAAACTCAAGCCAGAGTCAATATCTATATGACCCAAATCCAATCATGTTCATAGACATCAAATAGTCATCCTCGTGTTCAAACCTCAGTTCCATGACGAATGGTAATTTTATTTGTTAAGTTATCTTTGAAACCTAATGTGGCAGGCACGGAAAGTTACATTTGATACCCCCCCCCCCCCAATTCAATTCAATTCATATTATACTATAATGCATTCCCTAGAGATTAATAAAAAAACTATGTACGCTGTACAACAATCAGAAGACAATTATAAGCACTCATCAAAAAATTCAATTAGTTTGTTAAATCTATTTGCCTCACTAATGTCCAAACTCCAAAGTTAGCAAATGATCACAAATATATGAGGGCCAACCTAAAACCCTTATAAAAATCTCAGGAGAATAAAGGATATTGATTATTGGCCTGGTTTCAAAACAAAACCTTTTCATCGTACTCTAAATATATCCATGTCCCAAGCACTTTAGAGTGAAACACAATTTTAGTCCCTAAAAGATTTGGGATCAGACACATTGGTCTCTAAAAGATGAAAATCATCTTTTTTGTCCCTAAAATATGAAAACTTTCATCAATTTAGTTCCTGGAAAGCACTAAATGGATGCAAAAAGAAGGCTAAATTGATTGACCAAAAGAAGTAGATTTCATAGTATTGTTTGCTCTCTAGTACCAAATTCAGATCCTGTAAATCGAATTTGGTAGCAGGCTGTGTTGGTGTTCACTGTGATAATTAACTGGTGTACTTGCTGTTTGGGTGGAGGTTGCTGCTTGTGATATCTCCACCATCAATTTGGTCCTAATAAATCTTTGCCTTTTCAAAAATAAAAATAAAAAAATCCAGGAATGAAAATGGTGATTTTCATCTTTTAGGACTAATCCGACCGACCTAAAATATTTCTGAGACCAAAACGGTGTTTTACTTGCCACTTATTTTTGTGTAGCACAAATCACCTTGAGCTGGCAATGGTAGATAGCTGTTGACATCTAAACTGAGTGCCACCCATAAGTAATACAAGCATCCTAAGATAATTATATTTAACAAGGCTGGCATGTCCAACAAATAAATCATCAATCTCATTATAACTTCTCCTACACATTACCCACATCACCAAATTGGCATAAAAATTACTGCTTTATAAGGAAAATGGGATAAAAGGTGTCTGTTCTAAACCCAGTATGTGTCCACAGGCTCAAACAACAGGAGAACAATTGGCAAAGAGATGGGCATGCATCAAAAACACATAAAAGAATAGAATTGAAAGGTAAGAGGGAGGGAAAGGAATTTTACTTTTAACAATAATTTTGCTTGCAAGAGGGTAGTTATGGCGCAGAGAAGATGCCCTGAGCGTAAGAAAAGAAGGGTTTGGTCTTGCAAAGGGTTTTACGTAGCCAGGGAAGGGAGAAGCCAACATTCGAACATCCATCATCAAATTCGAAACCAACCAAACACAACCTCGTTTCGGAGAAGAATACCCAAACTAAACGTACTAATAAACATTTGATTTTATGGTTTTAAAATTTAATATATTTTTTTTATCACAGTTTCGATTATTAATTTTGTAATTAATAGAATGTGTGATACTACACCTAATTTACTCCTTGAATAATGGTTGAAACGACCAATAAGATCCAAAAGATTTTTTTATTACATGTGGAATCCCTAAATTTTAAATTTTTTTATGCAAATTAATCCCTAAATTACAACTTAACATTTAATTTTCGATTATTCAAAAAAAATTTAATGTTAGTAATTGAATTTATTAGAAAGGCTGACTTTTATAACAAAGTTAAAATTTAAGTACCGCTTGGATATTTCCTCAATGCTGCATGTCACTTGTTTTTTATTCGACGTTTTATTTTATTTTTATTATTTTAAGTAATTAGAAAAGAGAAGAAATTTGGTTAATATATCATTGTTCATAATCAATCATCAATAATGAATATTTTACTGGAAAATGTGTTTTTCATCAGAAAAAATGCATGAATTATGCTTTTTAATTTTCAAATAAGAGTTTGTATTTTAGTCGTAAATGAAAGAAGGGAATATAATAGTATTTATTTATACCGATACTCATTATATAATACTACTTAACTATCTTTAAATTATTGTTTATATTTACTTATGCTAAGTAAGAAATTCATATTTTGTTATGTTAGTTAATCAATTGGTAATTTAGTATATTTTAAATAAATAATTGGTTTTTTTATAAAATAATAATTTTATTTTAAAAAGGGATAAAAATAACATGTGATATTTTTATTATATCTTTTTATTATTTTTATTTGAAAAAATAAAAATAATATCCACAAGTATAATTATACTTATTTTTTTATTTTCTAAAATATTTTTTATAAAATAATAATTTTATTTTAAAAAGGGATAAATTAACATGTGATAT